ACCCGGACCTCCCGGTTGCGAATCCATCGCGTAACAGCCCTGATCCTTTCCGCTCGATTGTTGTTGTTATTATTATTATTATTGTTGCTGTATTATTGTATTATTAGTATAATTAATAATATGAACATCTGCTCATAGAGAACCGCTCGGCGAAGGGATGTTCGTGACTAGCAGCGCCATCTTTGGTTGGGAGCCCTGTGAGTGTGATCTGTCTAGCAGGCCGAGGCCTGGCGACGCGGGCGCCGTGGGCCACGCACCGATGTACTTCTGCACGACGTAGCGGCTCTCCTTCATGACGGCGGGGCTGACCTTGGCCAGCACGTGCTCCAGGCGCTGCACCAGTTGGATGCCCCGCCCGCGGCAGCGGTTGCCCGGCTTCATGATCCACGTGTTGAGGTAGCCGTCCAGCTGCAGCTGCGGCCAGTACTGCCGCAGGTTGGCCAGCATGCCCCTGCACGCGGCGTACGCCACCTGCGCAGCGCCAGGACGCGCCAACTACTAAGGGCAGGGCTTTCTTCTTTGGATGGTGGGATCCGGCGCCGACCTACCGACGGCTAGAGGGGTTTCTCGGTCCACGTATCTCCCACCTGCAGGGCACCGCCCCAGCCGGAACAAGCTCTAAACTTGGATTTAAACATAGCTTCAGTTGACGAAAATCAGCTGTTATGGTGTCATCCAATCGCGAGGTTGAACATCGCCATAGTGACGTCACTGTAGGGACGTGTAAGCTTCGGATTGGATGACACCGTAAGAGCTAAGGATCTGTAAAATGAAGCTCTAACGAAATCAAAGAATAAGTTCTTGGCCGGTCTCCCGACCTGTGCGATAGTGTACTGCATATTAGTGTAAGAGTGTGTGTGTAAGGAAGAGGGAGAACATATCGCGCGCGGACCGTGGCCCGTTTGTTAGGGCACTGCTCCGGCATTCGTTTGGTGTTGATCGGAGAAACCACGGAAAACTGCCTATCAGAGCACCGCTAGACTTCTCCTCCAGTCAATTGAATGACTGAATTCATTTCAACTGAATTCGACCTAGCTGACCAGCTAGTGCCCTGCCACCGTCAGGACTCGAACCTAGGACGTCCCGGTCAGAGGGACTACAGTGACATCAGTTGATGCCCTGAGCCACCCCTCTTGGTGACGAGGCGGTGGGTCGCAGTCTCAGAATAACAAGATTCTTCCCGACTCTGATGCAACTCTACAGGTGGGCGTTTTTTTTAGCGTTTCGATACTTCTGGAAATGATACACAAAATGGTGGGTTATTTTGTTCATAGAAAGTTTTCAAGAAGTCTGATTTGAAAACTGTTTCAAAAGGTTGTAGATCTGACAAGAGATAGTTCAAAAATATCAAAACATGATTTTGAACAAACATGTCGCATAGATCTTTGTCATTCCGAGGTCACGAGATATACCGCCGCGATTAACATGTGATAAATGCTTTGAAGAAATTGAGTAAAATTACAAAAATAATGTATTTGAGGTGGGAAGGAATGGTTTCTATTGCCTCTTGTGGATCCGCCGCTGGATAGTGTATTCCTTGACGAAAAATGCAAAGAAATGATACAAGGAAAATAAACAAGCGCATACATGTCTAAGTCTACGGGCACTCTATTTCACTCTTGTCCTGAAGGCACACGTCGCCTCGGTGAGTCAATGCCTTATCTGGATGGAAAGGAAAGAACTACTTCGGCAGCCTTATCTCGATCGGCCTTTCCAGGCTTAATTTCCCGAAAGGAAGTTTTGCTCGTATCGCAGTGAAGCCGACCCAAGGGGATTGGAGCAAAACCACGGCGCCTGCTTACAGGTGTGAGGCACATGGCTTCAAACGCGAGGTAGACTTATCTCGCCCGGTTGCTCTTTTGTACCTTGTGATTCGAAACTGATAACTGATATAATTGCCCTTAAATTATAATGCATGTTTAAAATTATCTTCATACGTTTGGAGATCATCAATATGGATTTCCTAAATTTGGACACGTCAGCTTCGTCCAGATTTCTGCTTCGCCCGTCTGTCCCATTTGTTACGCTACCTACTCCGTTTGATTTTGTCACCTTTTACCACTAATATCGAGATGTCGAAAACACATCGAGAAATTCGTTTTGAGTATACTACAACTACTAATTTTGGGTTAGAAACGCCTATCTTGAGGGTTTCCCCTCTGTTTTCCAGCAATTGATTGTTTAGTATACTATACGCCAATTCTGTATAACTACGCGTCAATGTACGACAATGCGGGTGCGCAGAGGCTACAAAATAGCGTAAATGCTAAGGTACTTCAGGCCTTAGCGAACCTAAAAACGACCATTAAAAGCCTAGTCACCAAACATAAAAGGTTCTCTTTCAGTGAAAATCCTATCGAAATCCGTTTAGCCGTTCCAGAGTTTCGTGCAGTCATAGAGAGATGATCAAGCAGCCAAAAATATAAGTTTATAAGTTTTTATAAAAGTTTTTTATATCAGTTAAATAAATATATGCGTCAATAAAAAAGATATTTTGAAATCATTCACGTACATTTCAATTTAATTTATATCAATGAGTTGTTTTTTCCAGTTGCTGTCATATTCGATGTACGAATAAGCGTGATTTACGAATTCCAACGTTTTACTTACAAGCACACAAAAATGGTATATTATAGTCTACACTTCGAGCTCCTGCACTGAAAATAGCCGATT